CGCGAGCCACGCGGGGAACCCCGGTGACGTAATCACCTCCTTCTCGCATTCCCGCGCTCACCAGAAAAGACGCAAAGGTGGTGACGTGTCCGGGGCGCCAGTGCGGCTGCGCAGGAGACGTCGACAACTGAACGTCTTGCGGCGCCGCCTGGTGGAAGAAAAGAAGCTAAGCGACCGGAAGTGGTTGCAATTGCAGGAGAACGTGACTGACGTCATCTCGCGGCGGTGATCGGGTGGCTGCCTCGTGACAAACCCCCAGCTGCTCTTCTGCTTCCAGTGTAGTGTAGAAGCTTAATTTCAGGCTCATTTTTTCGAGTTTATGGAAGTACTATAATGTACATTATAGAAAAATTGAGGGAAAAGGAAAAGATGGGAAGAAAATACCGCATTCCCAATCTTTACTCCCAGGTTTTTGTTTTTTTTATTAAACAAGTGTGTACAACAGTAGTATTAGATACAAAAATTCCGAAGGGACGAAAAGCAACCGAGCCTTAAACTTAAGAAATTCAAAACACTAGACAAGGTCACATCGTATCTGACTTTACTATTGGTATCATTACATGTTAAGTAACTTCCTCAAAATCGCTCTTAGGAGGGTGGCAGAACTGGGGTTTCAAACCCAGGCTTTAAAATCTGAACTTTAAAATGCAGGAATAGAGAAAGACACTGAAGTGATGCTAGGGGGAAAACAAGCAGGAAATATACAGGGCAACGGACTCCACTTTCCTCTTTAGGAAGCCATAAGCTGGAAGTAGTTAAAAGGTAGTAATAAACTGGAGACTTCATCCTAGAGCAACTTCTTGGATAAAGTGGCTTTGAAACATCAAGCCAGGCGTCGTGGAAATGCTTGTAATAGCACAGGGAGGCTGAGGAAAGAGGATCACCAGTTGGGGGCTATGCAGGGCTACGCAGCAAAAATCCTGTTTTTTCACTTTTTTTGTAGGGGGTTACCTTGTGCTTGCAAAGCAGGCGGCAGAACCACTGAGCTAAATCCCTAGCCCAAAATCCTATTTTTAAAAAAAAGAAGTGATACCACCTGCCTCGCAAGAGCAAAGACCCGAGTTCATACCCGGTACACCCTCCCAAAAAAAAGCGATACATTTTCTTTGGTGGGGGGTTATATATGAAAGAAGGGGTAAGGAAAGAAAGAAATCTGTCTTGAAACATATCCAGTGCCCTTGCTCCTTGCTGGGGCCTTAAGCTGCTCTCCTTTTGTCAATGAAAGGTGAAAGGGAAGTTATGTATGGATCAGGTCAGGCATCAACGTTAGTACTGGGTACATTCTATAGTCCAGTATTTTGTGCATGGCTTGGGAACTGATGATAAATATTCAGAACTTTGGGGCCACCTTAGAACTTCTGAAACAGAACATGAGTTTCTACTAGATCCCTAGGTGATTCCTATACATGTTAAATTTTAGTATTATTGTAAAACAAGTCATATTGTGGATGCCACACTTCCAGGCCCCTCAGCTGTTCTGTGAAGCCCCAAGAGACAGAAATGAATCAGCCCCTGGCAACAAGACTGAGCCCCATCCATATCCTAGCTCCACCCTAGTGTGGCTGCCCTGCACTATTTCAGTGTTCTTGAACAGCCATTCATTCTGTGGGTAGAGCTATTTCTATCACTTGCAATTGAAAACCAAAAGCCTAATTCATATGGGGCTTTTTGCTTCGACCAAGGACAGTGACCTATGAGACATTTATGTCAAAACAACATATCACAAGGAGAAATAATATGTACTATAGAGTAATTTTGGGGGGGGGAGTAAACATTATTTTAACGCTGTTTCCAGCAAGATACATAATCTCAGATAGAGGCCATTTATTTAACTCTAAAAAGGTCTAAACTCAAAACAATTAAGATTTAATGGGGAAAAAAAGATGAAGTGAATAATGTAAGTGCCTGGCCCATGGTGGGCATGTAGAAATATTGATTTCCTTTGTGACAATCTGTGACCAATGAACCCAGAAAGAGGAATGAGGGTCTAGTGGCTGTAAACGTTTTGAAAAATAAAGGTGGAAATAAATATAAAGCTAATAAGCAAAATAATAACAACAACAATAAAGCTAATAAACAATTACAGTCATTAGCTTCAAATGCCAATACTCCCTTGACACCCAAACCTCTTTTTCAGGTAAATCTCCCAAAAGGTTTATAAGTTTATAATCAGGCCACCATGAACCAACCTTTTGAAAACTAGTGACTCTGCTTTATTTGAGAACAGAATAACGAGCATGGCCAAAGTAAGGATGGCCCCTTACATTCCGTCCTAACCAGGGCATTAACTTCCCAACACTGTTAGTGTAAGGCTGAGTGCTGCTAACTTCTGAAAGAATTAGAAAGACACTGAAATAAACTCTAAAATTGAGTCTATGACAAAGTGCGCCGGTTGTTTCTTCCTTTTTTTTTTTTTTTTTAAACTGGGGATTGAATTCAGGACCTTGTGCTTACAAGGCAGGCGGCAGCACCACTGAGTTAAATCCCCAGCCCCTTCCTTTTAAAACTCTAGCCAGAAATTCTGCCCAATTTATAATGAAGACTGTATACAGCAGCACTTTAAAGGCTACTTATAAGAATGTTTCCTCAACAAAACCCACTTGACTTCTGAGAAATGGAATCTTAACTAAGAACGATTCACTAAGTAATAGAGTAGTAGAAGTGGTCAGGGTTGGAGATGTGCAAATTTAGCAGTAAAATACTCTTGTCTCAAGGGAAAGTGATAGTGGTCAGAGGGGCCAGTTCCAGTGGCTGGTCCAGAGGGGGCCTCTGGTCTTGGTAGTCCGCCACATGCCCGTTCCGGTGGTGACCGTACTCAAATTTGATCCGCAGCTCACCAATCTTGGATTGGGGAAGGATATCTGGGATCCACTCAATGATGAAAGGTGTTGGCTCCTTTTGATCTGGGGAAGTATTGCCTAAAGAAGGGGAGGGAAAGGGAACATTCATTAGTACATTCCACAGAGATCATGGGCATTTCTAATAGCGGGAAGTATCGTGAACTGGAGCAGAGTGTCCTTGGCTTTGTCAGGCTGAGTAGGTTTTACATATTCAGTGTGTAACTGGAATATAAGATTTCCTGATCATTGTGAAATTAACATATAGCGCAGAGTGATGATATACACTTGTAATCCTAGCACTCGAGGAAGCTGAGGCAGGAGGACCATAAGTTCAAGCCCAGTCTGAGTAACTCGGACCTTGTCTCAAAAAAAAAGAAAGGGGGCTAGGGATTTAGCTCGGTGGTGTCACCGCCTGCCTCACAAGCACAAGGACATGAGTTTGATCCTGTGTAACCCCCCTCCAAAAAAGGCTGGGGGAATCTGGCTCAGTATGAAGGTCCAAAAAAGATATAATATTTAATAACTTGAGATCTTTCTTATTGATGTTGATGTTAGAGTAACAGTTTGATGGGAGATATAAAATTTAAAAATTTAGATTAAATAACTTCTATCGGAAATTATTGAAGAGTAGCCCGGTGTGGTGGCACACGCCTGTAATCCCCGCACTCAGGAGGCAGGAGGATCACTGCAAATTTGAGAACAGCCTGGGTTACACAGTGAGTTCCAGGTCAGTCTCAACTACATACTGAGACCCTGTCTCAAAACAAACAAACAAACAAACAAAAATAAATAAATAAATGATTAAAGACTTTCAGGAGAAAAAGTAAAAAAATTTAAAGATATGTAAATATGAGGGAAAAGGATGGAGAAAACCCTTAATTATGTATACAGTACCCTTTCTTCTCTCAGTATCACTTCTGTATGTACAATTTTTTTTTAACTTCACTACCCATTCTCCCTCCATTTTATTCCCACATCACCTTCTCTAGTTGCCTACCATCTACTTCTTTTGGTTGTTTCCTTCTTACAGTGATCAAGATATCATTTATATGATGAGAAACAAAGCTTCCACCCTACCCAGACTAACAACCTGTGTTGACTGGTGTGTTTCAGTGTGTTTGGTTTCTTCTAGCCACAGAATATAAGTCTGGTTCTTGTCAAAAACAGCTTCTACTTCAAATTATATCTAGCGGAAAACCCTCTGTGGAGTGGCCACTATTCATTTAAATATCAATGAAAATGCTGAAACTCAGGACGATATCCACTAAGATCACTGACAGCACCTGGCAGTAAACATTTTTTTCTTTTTTTTGGTACTAGGAATCGAACTCAGGACCTAGTGCTTGCGAGGCAGGAGCAGTGCCACTGAGCTAAATCCCCGGCCCATTAAATATTTTTTAAAACATGCAGATGGATGGCAGTACCCAGGCTGCTGCCACCACATGGCCCAGCTTTCCTTCACAAAAGCAGGCTGCATGGAAGAAAGCAGGAAGACACCTTGTCCCTTATATGTTGCTGGGGCTAGAACTTGCACAAATTAGAAAATCCATAGTCTGATTTGCTGCCTTTTAGAAAGTGTCACGCACATTGATCCCACACAGGTACCTGGACTCTTGCTGACTGCAGAAGCAGGGTTAAAGCCGACTAAGGTGGCAGAACATGTTCTGGACAGTGCACTAGGCACAAGTAAAGTAGTGTGGGTAGGGGGAAAAGGAAAACTGGAACACCACACGGTGGGAATCTGAGTTTTGTGTGTGTTTTCATAGATCCTATCATTAGCAAAGGAGGAGAGGCCACTGTGATGGAAGAAAAATATACAGTCAGAACTTTGCAGCAACCCTCCACCAGGAGATCCAAGAGGGAGGCAGCCATCACCCAGGGTGGCCCAAGGCAGTGCTACCAAAACCTGTGTGGACAAATTTTACTCTGTTTTTGACTAAATAAGGAAAACAAGAAGCTTTTAAAAAGACATTAAGTTGAGCCGGGGATTTAGCTCAGTGGTTCTGCCGCCTGCCTGGCAAACACAAGGACCTGAGTTCAATCCCTGGTATCAGAAAATAAATAAATAAATAAAAAGACATTAAGTTAAAACACACAGGCCAGTCGTGGTGGTGCATGCCTGTAATCCCAGCACTCAGGAGGCTGAGGCAGGAGGATCGCTGTGAGTTCAAAACCAACCTGGGCTACATAGTGAGTTCCAGGTCAGTCTCAACTACATAGTGAGACCCTGTCTCAAAACAAGCAAACAAACAAAAAAGTCTAAAGAGCTTAGAAGCACTGATTGATTTAGACCTTGGAAAGTCCTTAGCTAAACTACACTGAGACCCTGTCTCAAAAAAAAAAAAAAAAGCCACACAGACACACACATGGCTAGGACAATCAAGAGAAGGGAAAGCAATAGCTACTACAACTATTCAAAAAATTTTAGGGAATTGTTTGGCACCCCAAAAGAATCCTGCCTTTATGCAAATAGGGCCAAAAATCATAAAGACAGCCCAGACTTTGAAGACAACTGATGAGATTAAAACAGACTAGCAGGAAAAGATCAAGTTTCAAACCAAAAAGAATTAGCAGAATTAAAATCTGCATGGTTCTAAAGCATATTTCAAATCCACAATAATCAAGAATATGGTACTGGCATCCACAGGTCTAGACAAAACAGAAACAGTAAGATCAGAAATATTCACACCATTAGTAGGAACAAAACAAAAAGATCAGAAATAGACATAAATAGAATATGAATTTAGCATAAGACAAGGTGGCATTTCCATTTAGTAAAAAAGATACAAATGAAAGCTGGGCGTGGTAGCATATGCCTGTAATCCCAGCACTTGGGAGGCTGAGGCAGGAAGATCGCTGTGAGCTCAAGACCAGCCTGAGCTACATAGTGAGTTCTAGGTCAGTCTCAACTACATAGTGGGACCGTCTCTCAAAAAACAAACAAAAAAAACATACAAATGAGTGGTTCTCATAAGAGGAAGAAAATGAATCTCGACTCATAACTTACATCAAATAATTTTTAAATGTGAAAAACTCCATTTAAAGAATGCTTTTGAAAAGCATAAAATTAAATACTAGTAGAATTAAAATAAGAATATATATCTCCTTCAAGGGAGGGGAAGGGAGAATTCAGACATGTCATGTACACGCACCAACTCCCCATGATAAATGTGATCATTGTGTACTGTAAACACACACTAATAAATATAAAAATTTGAAAAAAATATAGATCACCTTTAAAAAATATGAATACAACAATGCATGGGAAACAATCCACAGCAAAGCAAGCAAACAAAAGATCAATTATATCACTTATAATAAATATTAAGATAAACTATTAAAACTATATATAATACAGTATATAAATAATAAAGTCTGTCAGTAACTTTGATGTACTAACAATATCACATAAAATACTTAAAAGGCTTTTAATATAAGAAGATATTTAGAGAAACACAGACATAGTAGGAAGTGTATCACTGACCCTATAGTCTTTGACAGGTCAGAGACATAAACTGGGTGTATTAGCGCACTCCTGTAATCCCAGCATTCAGGAGGCTGAGGCAGGAAGATTGCTGTGAGTTCAAGGCCATCCCGAACAACACAGCAAAACCCTGTCTCACAAAACAAAACAAAGATATAATAAAGATAAAGAGAATTTAAGTAATAAAATGTGATTGATTTAAATGCTATATAAAAGTCTAGTTCTGATAAATAATAATGCCTTTGCTAGCACAAATTCCTATTATATGTCATTAATGTAAAAATATTTTTAAATTCTTGGCTTTAAAAATTTTTTTTGAGGGCCGGGAATTTAGCTCAGTGGTTCTGCCGCCTGCCTCACAAGTGCAAGGTGCTGAGTTCAATCCCCGGTACCAAAAAAAAAAAACAACCCTAAAACCAAAAAAACAAACAAAAATAAATAAATAAATAAAATTTTTGAGACAGGGTCTCACTATGTACTTCCAGCTGGCTTTGAAATCACTACGTAGTTCAAGCTGGACTCCAATTCATGATGATCCTCATTCCTCATTCTCCTGACCACTAGGATTACAAGTGTGAGCCACCACACCTGAAATTCCTAAAAAATAAAAATTAAAAAGATATCTCTGACATCAAAATAATAAAACAAGAAATTGATACAAAGATCAAAATACCACGCATACACACAAAAGAATATAAAAATCAAAAGCCTCAACTAACTAGAAATTTTAAATACAAAATACTGGGGACACAGAAAATAAACTATAACCAGTTCAATAATAACAGAAAAGAGGCTGGGGATTTAGCTCAGTGGTTCCACCACCTGCCTTGCAAACACAAGGGCATTGAGCTCAATCCCCATACCAAAAAAAAAAAAAAAAAAAAAAAAAAAAAAAATTGGGGGCTGGGGATGTAACTCAGTTGTAGAGCACTTGTTTAGTATGTGCCAGGCCCTGATTCAATCCCCAGTACTGAAAATAATGCACATACTGAAAGAAAAAAGGACCAAGCAGGATTGATTCCAGAGATATAAAATTACATCAAAAAATATAATATACCTATGAATACATTCAGAAGAACCTGACAAAATAACTATAAATTCTCAATTTCTCTAGAATAATAAATGTACAGTTACAGAAAGGAGGAAGCTGGCTTCATCGGTCACAAAGCTAAAGTAACCAAAACTATGAGTGACTGATAACAGAAAAAAAAAAAAAAGAAAGAAAGAAAGAAAAGGAAAACCCCAACTATGGCTAGCATTCAGTTGTTCACTCAACAAGTCTTTACTTATTACCCATTATAATCAGACACCAAACCATCTTGAGGTACCGTACTGAACAACACAGTTCATTGCCCTTAAAGGGCTTACAATCTAATCAGTGGAAAGGGATGTGAATCCTTAATGGTTAGGAGTGCAGGCTCTGGAGTCCAGAACTGCTGGATTGAAACAGCCTCAGCATTTACTAGCTGTGGCTAGTGGTTGGCTGGACTTAGCCTCACCTCAGTTTCTTCTTCTATAAATGGGGATCACAGAATCTACCTCTCACTAGGTTGATAAGTAATTAATGCAGGTAAAGCATTTAAAATAATACCTTGCAAGAAATAGTTAATCCTTAAGTGTTGGTTGTTACAGTCATCATTATAAACTTATCACATTCCAACACACTGTGAGACTGAGGCAGGAGAATGGAAAGTTAAAGCCCAGGGCCAGGGATTTAGCTTAGTGATAAACGCCATCTGCCTCATACGCGCAAGGTCCTGAGTTCGATACCCAGTACCAACCACACCCCCAAAAAAGTTAAAGCCCAGCCTGAGCAACTTCGCAACTTAACAAGACCTTGTCTCAAAACAAAAAATGAAAAAGGGCTATGGATGTAACTCAGTTAAAAGGCCCTGGGTTAAATCCCCAGTGCTGAGAAATTCTTATTTTTTTGAGATACGGTCTTACCTATTTAGTTCAGGCTGGCCTTGATTGCACTATGGAACCCCAGCTAGCCCCAAACTGCTGAGGTTATTGGTGTGTGCCTCCATTCCCAGCAGAACCCAGGACTTTGCAAATGCTGGAGAAGCATTCTACCACCGAGCTATTCCTCCAGTCCAGTTACCCTCATTAATTATGAGAGAAATGCAAATGAAGAATAAGAAAACATCACTGGGCGTGGTGGCCCACGCCTGTAATACCAGCACCTGGGAGGCTGAGGCAGGAGGATTGCTATGAGTTCGAGACCAGCTTGGGCTACATAGTGAGTTCCAGGTCAGTCTCAACTACCTAGTGAGACCCTGTCTCAAAAAACCAAAAAACCAAAAAAAAAAAAAAAGAAAAAGAAAAAGAAAACATTTTTTGCCTATTATATTAACAAAGATTCAAAAAAGAGAAACTCTTTTATTATGCACAGCTAGCAATCATTTTATAAATGATACAGTGCTTCTAGGGAGCAGTTTGACCAAAAAAATGCCTTAAAAATTATATAACCTCTGACCTTCCAATTTCACATTTAGGAATTTATCCCAAAGAATAACTGAAATAAGTGCAGAAATAATAAAAGGCTTATCTAAGAGGAAGTTAATTATAGCATTGTTTTAACTAAAAGCAAAAAGTTTATAACAGGTTAGAGTGTGGAGCTCCAAAATGAATTCATTTTATTAAGCTGTTCAATTTTTTTTGGTACCAGGATCGAACTCAGGTCCTTGTGCTTGCAAGGCAAGAGGTGGAACCACTGAGCTAAATCCCCAGCCCAAAGCTGTTAAAAATAAAAAATAAAACATTGTACACTGTGGATACAGCTTGGTGGTAAAGTGTGTGTTTAGCATGTGCAAGGGCCCCAGATCGATACCCAGCACCACATAAAACAAAACAAAACAGCAAGTTATTCACAATTGTGTTATTCACTTAAGTGTTCATCCACAGATGAATGGATAAACAGAAGAGTGGCATGTATAGACAAGGGAATGTTATTCAGCTTTAAAAAAGAGAAGAAATTTTGACATATGTTTTGGCATGGATGAACCTAAGTAAGGTAAGCCAGATTGTAAAAGGACAAATACATGATTCCATTTATATGAGTTACTAAGAGCAGCCAAATTCATAGGTAGAAGTAGAACGGTGGTTGCCAGGAGCTGGGGCAAGGCAGGTGTGGGAAGTTGTTGCTTAATGGATAGAAGGTTTCAGCTGAGGATGATGAAAATGTTCCGTAGGTCAGTGTTGGAGATGGTTATATAATAATGCCAATGTCCTAGAGAACTACACACTTAAAAGCAGCTAAAATGGTACACTTTCTGCTATGACAGCTTATAACAATAAAAAAGTTTTTTAAAATAATGTTGAAGGGCTGGGGATTTAGCTCAATGGTTCCACCACCTGCCTTGTAAGCACAGGGATCTGAGTTCGATCCCCGGTACCAAAAAAATATTAATAATAAATAAAATAAAATAAAATAGTGTTGAAGATAGACTTGGAAAGCAGTATTGATGTATTATTAATAGAAAAAAAACAACAGAGATATGATCCTATGTTTTGGGAACTCTTCTGCTGCACAGAAAAGGTAAAAGGGTAAATAAATCTTAATAGTGGGTCAATTACAGGTGGTTTTAATTTTTGTCTTTTGTGCTTTATCTTGAAATCTGATTTCTCCACAGAGAACATGTATTATTTCTGCAATTTTATTCTGAAGACACAATTGCTTTTACAAAATGAATGTGTCTCCTTGGATTAAGGTCAAGATCCAAAACCTCAGACAGTGCAATGAGCAAAACTGGCCCTCAAAGTAAGATGGGCTTTTGAAATTTACTTACCAACTTTGAGAAAAGTTTTTAGTTCCAAGGGTCGCAGCACTGGTTGCTTTTCTATGCGGCCATAGGTTTCTGCTATGCTCTCTACTTCCACTTTAGGGCATTTAAATAGCTCATAAGTCCCATCTCGGTTCTGGATAAAACTACGGGTAATTTCCAAGGGCATCTGGACACCAAGACAACAACAAAAGAAGGTGAAACAAGGAAAACTTTCAAAGCAGACAAATATTTGGATACCAATAGGTGTTTTATTTTCCCTTCTTTCTTGTTAAGTGCACTGAATGAAAACTTTCTTTTGTACTTCCAAGCAAATCCTGTCAACTACTCTGTCATTTCTCCCTTTCATGGCTTTCCTTAATCTGAACTCCAGCCCAAACTGTACCAACTGAACTTGTAAGATTCTCACAGCTCGTAGCTGTGCAACCAGTGTGGACCTGCTCTGTCGTCAAATTCCTTCCCTGACTGCTCAGCTGGTAGCATTCTTCTAAATACTCTTTCGAGAGCGCCTCCAGTTCCCCTCACGTCCTGTGTGTTCATACCATCCTTGGGACTGAGCTGCCATACAGAACTTAACCAAAAAGCACTGTGTTTGCCACCAAACAGCAGGATGACTATGAACAGGTTAGTAAGTTTCTCAGAACCTGCTTTCTTATCTGCAAAATGCAGTTAATACCTCTGCATCACTGGGAGACTGAAGAGGTGATGAAGTAAATAATGTCCCACAGAAGAAGCTCTTTGATCACTAGCTATCTCCCCGCATCTGCTTTTGCCCTGAGTTGCTTCAGTGCTTCCCTGAATGTCACTCATTCTAGATGAGAAGCTGCCTCAAGACCCTATACCTGTAAAGCTTCCCAGCAGTGCTGGGTGTGAAGGCACATGCCTGTAATTCCAGCACTCTGGAAGGCAGAGGCAGAAGGGTCTCAAGTTCAAGTCCACTCTGGGCAGATTAGTAACTTAGTGTCTTAAAATAAAACATAAACAATTGGCTAGGAACATAGCTCTGTTTGAAGGTCCTGGGTTCAATCCCCAGTATTACCAAAAAAAGAGAAAAAAAGTCCCCCGTGTCATTAGCATTCACATAGGCTATTTTTGTTTGTTTTTTAAAGACAAGGTCTTGATATGTAATTCATGCTGGCCTTGATCTCACTATGTAGTCCCAGCTGGCCTCAAACTCACTGAGATCCTCCTGTCTCAGCTCCTGAATGCTGGGATTGTAGGTTTTTTTCTATGGTTCACATGTAAGTTCTGTAGCCACTGAACAATTTATTCTTTTTTTTTTTGTACCAGAGATTGAACTCAGGTCCTTATGCTTGAGAGGAAGGCAGCCTAACCACTGAACTAAATCCCCAGCTGAACAACTTATTCTTTTCTGAACATAACAATGCTTTGCCATTAATATAATCTATGTTTGGTACCGGGGATCGAACTCAGGATCTTGCGCTGGTGAAGCAGAAACAGTGCCACTGAGCTAAATCTCTGGCCTGAGCTAATCTTAATTATCAAATTACATTAATCTTGGGCTGGGGATTTACCTCAGTGGTGCCACCACCTACCTCACCAGTGCAAGGTCCTGAGTTTGATCTCCAGTACCAAGAAATAAAAAAATTTTTTTAAAATTACATTATTCTAAAGTTTCTACAATATTCCATTACTTTAAGAAGGGAAAATCTTGGGCCAAGGATTTAGCTCAGTGATTCTGCCACCTCCCTCACAAGCACAAGGTTCCGAGTTTGATCCCCAGAACCAAAAAATAAAAATAAAAATAAAAATAAAAAAACACAAGGGAAAATCTTTCTCAATTTTTCAGGATATACTTGAAAAATATATCTGAAAGCCAGGTGTGGTGGCACATGCCTGTAATACCAAGCACTCAGGAGGCAGAGGCAGAAGGATCACCATGAGTTTGAGGCCCGTCTGAAGTACACAGTGAGACCCTGTCTTAAAAAAAATATATATATAAAGAGATGTAACACACACACACACACACACACACACACACACACACACACGTTTGAAAGTGTCTAATGTGTCCCTGGTGAAGGAGAATAAATAAGGGTCATTTCTCTAGTGAGAATCAAATTACAGTATGGAGAAGTTGTTTTTTTGTTTTTGTTTTTGTTTTTTTGTACCACAGTTCGAACTTGGGACCCTGAGCTTGTGAGGCAGGCAGCAGAACCTGATCTAAATCCCTCGCCCATGGAGAAGATTTAATTGTACTAGAGTCACTGACTTCACCAACAGTATGACATCTAAAATTATTTATAGACTTTCTAGCTGCCTGCCAGTAAAATCTAGGGCTCACTATAGCTCACTATAGCTTTCTTTCTTTCTCTTTCTCTCTCTCTCTCTCTGTCCCTCCCTCCCTCTCTATTTATTTTTTGGTACCTGAGTTCAAATTCGGGTTCTTGTGCTTGCAAGAACCACTGAGCTAAATCCCGGCCCGAATCATTATGTAAATTATAAGGAAAAAAAAAAAAGAAAAGAAAAGAAAAATCTGGCTTCCTGATTTCAAAGGCAGAGAAAAATCATACTCTAAGACACTTTTGAAAGAGGAAATACCCACTAAAATCAGAACCAAAAATATAAAACACTTTTTCTTAATAATATCTTCTTTGTTTTTTCAGTACTGGGGATCAAACTCAGGATCTTGTACTTGCAAGGCAGGCAAGGTGCCATTAGCTAAATCCCCAGCCTCTTAATAATATCATTTTTTTTTTTTTTGGTACCGAGGATTAAACTCAGGTCCTTGAGCTTTCCAGGGAGGCGGCGGAACCACTGAGCTAAATCCCCAGCTTAATAATATCTTAGCATTAAAAAAAGGTACTCTCATTGGCATCTGAACTTAGGGAATGGGTACAAACTTAACTCCCCACACTTGCTTCTCTCTACCATCCCACTATTGTAGAAATACATTCTTACCTCTGGGGTATCCAAGATTTGTTTAACTTGCAGGATATTAGTGATATGCCAGGTGTACTTGGAAAATGTTCCCAGTGGCAAGGCATCTTTTCGAACAAAAGCTACAATATAAAAAAGACAAAATTAGACTACCAAAAAAAAAATCACATTCTCTTTCATTACTTTTGTCACTCAATATCTATCGAGTTCTGTGCAGTGCTATTCATTTCTTATAGAATCTCAACCTTTTAAAAAGAAATTCTAAGGGCAAATATATAACAGTGGTCAACACACATGTGACAAACCTAATAATGTGAACTGTTATTTGACTTCTCTGAGGCAGAATGCAGTGCTACTTATTTTTGCTACCTTAGGAACTTGCTTCAGTGTTTGATAAAGCTATATGCACAAGGTTCTATTATAAAACAGTCTTACAACTTTAGGTACAATAAATCGAATAACAGTCCTTAAAATAATTACTTGGAATTTAAGCTTTCTATCATGATGGCTAATCCATTGTCTGCATGCAGGATTATCAAGCATTTCCACCAAAGGGCCTGTAAAAATCGGCAAGGAATGAGTTAAAATTAAACTGGAGTTTAAAATGGAAGAAAGACTCAATACTGCTTCAAAAGTTGGATAAGCTGTGAACAAAAAGATTTTTATAGCCCCAAATATAGTGATTCACAGCTTGCTCTCAAATTGAAAAAGAGTTAAACCTCAAGCAGTCACTGCTCTCAGTAGAAAAAAAAAAGTCACCGTTACATTAAATAACAGTTTGAAATATTGCCACTGAACAATTGTTTCTTTCCATCTTTTTCCTTCCTGATTTCCTTTTTGCACATCTAACAAGTATCTTGAGATCTTTAGCTCTCTAGAAGATGTTACATAAAATCAAAAAATAAATACTAGAATAATATAACGAAGTGTTGAGGGTAGGGAGTGTGGTTCAGTGGCAGATCCTGGGTTCAAAGTAAATTATTCGAAGCCTAATAATTACTCTGAGGATAGAATCCTCCATCAAAAATTGAGAATCTGCCGGGCATGGTGTTGCACGCCTGTAAGTCCAGCAAACGGGAGGCTGAGGCAGGAGGATCACTGTGAGTTTGAGACCAGCCTGGGCTACATAGTGAATTCCAGGTCAGTCTCAACTACATAGTGAGACCCTGTCTCAAAAAACCAAAAAAAAAAAAAAAACAA